CGACTATTCTGAATTACTGTCATCAGTCCAAATCCAGGTGGGTTGTTATTCAAAAATTATCTATGCATATGTTTGATTTTAATCATGTTGCAAATTTGGTGTGATCTATGTATGAAAATGAACATGTAGCCTATCGATGTGAGCTGTTACGGCCGTCGGTACGGTTGTCCCCGTCGAGTTACGGTACGGTGCCCTTGTGTGGCAATCTCCTTTAAGTCCTGATATGGCCGTGCCCTTGTGAGGTACGTAAGCCCATATGGAAGGCCGTGTCCGTTACAGTGGCACGTACTCCCGCCTTCGGGTAATGAATCCCCGTTTTGCGGCTAGCGATAGATGTGCACATGAGTAAGGTTAAATGGTGTGATTTTGATTAGGAGATGAGACATGTTGTGATCATTGTTTATGTTCATGCTGCGACCATACCATTGTTATGTTATTCATATGCATAGTGTGAGTACGATATTTAACTGTACTCACTCCCACCTGCTCTTCACGGATGCAGGTTAAGCAGCTGGCGGGTGACGAGACGAGATGACGAGTGGTGGTTATATTATTTATTATTGCTTTATTAACCTTGCTTCCGCTAAGTTCATGAACTCATGTTGAATTTGGATATTTTGGTTATGTTATTTCGGAACATGGAATTATGAATTATCTTTTATGAATTGGAACCTAATGAATGCTAGATTGGTTTATGGTTTATTATTCGTGCATTCTGCCTTTATTTGCTGTGTTAGCATTTTTGGATAAAAGCTTTTGGTAGGTTGAGTAGCGCCCACTGAGTTTTTAATTACATTAATGTTTGTAAAATAAAAATTTATTGTGGTTTCTATTAAATAAATTCGATAAATCTTTCAAAATAAAGTGGGGCGTTACACTACCCGGTGGCCATACCGGTCTAGCCACCGGTACGCGATATTACCGGTCGGACCGGTAATATCGGTGGTATTACCGGACTAGCAAATATAATGATATATATATATTTATATATAAAAATGTATATTACCAAATGCGAAAAAATAAACAAATAAATGACCATGATCATTAATTTTAACTTACCACTGAAATAAAAATAAAACATTCTAACTACCAATTAATTTTAACTTACCACTGAAATAAAAATAAAACATTCTAACTACCAATTTAAATTTTATATTTTAAAATTAATAAATTTTATTTTTTTATTTTTTTTATGACCGATATTTTGGACCGGTTTTTTCCGGTATTTACGGTATGACCCCGGTACCGGTATAACCGTAAATTCGGTATTCTGTGTACAATTGTACCGTACCAATGACCGGTATCCGGTATTACCGGCCGATACGGTACGGTATTTAAAACATTGGCTTATACGACTTGCTCATCTTATATTATAATATTTTTTAATTTATATCCAATGACTACTTTGTAATTAAATTAAATTTAAATATTTTTATTTTATTCCAAATGTATTAATAGATAATTTAATTTTTACTATAACGGTAAATAATTATTTTTTTATTTTGTATGTACACTACAGATGTCAAATCGAAGTTCAACATGATATATAGAAAAAAAATTATAAAAAATTTTTTAATTTTTAAAATATAATTTAAGTAAGTAATTTTTTTATAATTATAAAAGGAAGACCAAGGATAAGAGAAAGTTTGAGAAGAAATTTTATGCCTTGTAAACCGCTTTTAGAATAAGAAATGATATTAAAACATAATTAATGCTTCTAAAAAAATCATAAATATTTAGTATATTTATGGTTATTACAGACCTAATTATTTTTTGATTGAAAGTAAATTAAAATATATTCAAACCAAATGACAAATGAAAAATTATCACATATGATTATTAAGCTTGAGAGTCTGTTATTTAAGCTCATCACATCAGAAACTATATTAGTAGGATCATGAAACTTGAGAGTCTGTTATTCAAGTTCAATACACTCAGAAACTATATAAGGGGATGTTAACATTTGGAGAATAGAAGTTTTATTGATATTTCAAAACATGTCCCAAGCATTAAATGGATCTCAACAGTGAGTTCTGGAACTTTGTTTCACTATGTATGGCTAACTGACAAGTTACATAGTCAAATATACAACTTCAAAATTTTAAATAGAAAATAATTGATGTTGAAATTTATAGTTGGAAGTTTTCATATTATTGTCTATAGCTATATACATTTATTTACTATTTAAATGTATGGAAGATATTAAATTTTAAGAATGGGAATAAAAAATGATGGAGTCAACAAATGCAATTGAATATATTTTCATTGGTGGAAAATAGTTTTAGTCAACGAAAGAAAATTAGTAAAAGAATTAATAGTTTTTTAATATCAAGGTATAAAGAATAATGGTACTTGTAACTAGTAATTAATTATGTGCACTAGCACGTATGGAAATATATAAAAATTTATAAGCTACATGTATGTGTATATAATATAAATTACAAGTTAGATAATGATCATATCATATTTATATTTTATCATTAGTAAAAATGAATAATATATATATAAACTATTTAACTTAAATATGATCATTATATTGATTGAAATGATGTAGTTTTTGTAATATTGAGTTATTATATGACCCGTTGATTAGATAAAAGAAAATATTAATAAAATTATTGCTATAGCAATTGTATAAGAAATTTTGATTATGCCATAAAAAAATTAACTAATTTTAATAATAAATTGCTGAATGAACTAATTTTCTTTAAAATAAACAATTTGAAAAAAATTGCAATTAGAGTTTTTTTAGAGGCATATTGTGTCATATATCATTTGGTGTGACTGTACGATTAGTTAGTGGTAGTCTAATAAAATAAATAAAAAATATAACTGATTAGAAAGCAAAATATAATGGTTTTTTTCCAAAGTTAGCTGAAAAAATTTCCTCAACTCCTCACCAACGGGCTACAGAGGGAGAAGAAGGTCCAGCGGAAAAAAATTATTTTTTGCACTAAATATTTTCCCAAGTTATATATATATATGATTAAAAGATAATAAAATAATGATTCATTTTGGATGGATAATATATTTACAAATAAATGTGTAGTTATGATTAACTTTGAAATTTAAAAATTCTATTAATAAAAATAAAATAAAAAATAGAAAAAAATTTATAAATGAATGAAGTATATCTTTTTTTGGTTCGAAGCACACGAACAGCGCATCTTTTTCTCCATAAGTCCACTTTATCTCCGCCGCGTCCGCCCGGTGTGCTAGCCCGCCGCATCTTTTTCAAACGTCTGATTCTCTTAGGTTTATATGAAACAAAGTTCAATCAAATAAAAATTAATTTTTATGCCCACACTAAAACTTTATCAATATGATATATTTATTTTATTTATTTATTTTTTTCAAATCCACAACTCAAATTTTCGAGAGAGAGAAAAAAAAGGAAACAAAAATTTTATCAAACCTTATCAAATTTTCGAGAGAAGAAAAAAAACAAAAAAAATTGGAAACAAAATCTTATCAAACCTTATCAATAATGAGATACGTGTTTCCATGAAAAGCTAACAAAATCTCGTGGTTACCAAAATCCTATCAAATTAGTTAACAAAATCCCATTAAATTGGTTAACAATATTGGAACGTATTTTGTTAGGAAAGATTTACGTAAATTATCTATCTAATTAATATCATATTAACGTGTGGGCCCAGTGATATTAATTTAGTATACATTCCATTATCTCGGAATAATTTTTTGTTTGATTTACAACATTAATTTGAATGGAAAAAAAATCCGTAATTGTTGAGATATCTCAATTCAAAATCTCAATTTTTTGGCATAATAATCTTCAAATTTGTTACCAATAAAAATAGATTCTTGTGGGATTAATATTTAAAATGAATTAAATTTTGGTATAAGAATTCCAAATTTGTTACCATAAGAATCTTCAATTTGTTACCATAAGAAACTCATAAAAATATCCTATGGATTGGAATTTATCAATATTTAGTATAGCATCCATTATTCAAGGAATAATTTTTTGTTTGATTTACAACATGAGTTTGAAGGGGAAAAAATCCGAAATTGTTAGGATATCTCAATTCAAAATCTCAATTTTTTGTCATAAGAATCTCAAATTTGTTAACATAAGAATCCCATAGAAATCTCCTATGGGATTGGAGTTTATCAATAATTGGTATAACATCCATTATTTTTGGAATAATTTTTTGTTTGATTTACAACATTAATTTGAATAGAAAAAAATCCGTAATTGTTGGAATATCTCAATTCAAAATCTCAATTTTTTGGCATAACAATCTTCAAATTTGTTACCAATAAAAGTAGATCCTATGGATTAACATTTAAAATGAATTAAATTTTAGTATAGGAATCTATCTAAATTTGTTAACATAAAAATCTCCAATTTTTATGATATCTCAATTAAATTTGTTACCATAAAAATCTCCAAATTTGTTACCATAAAAATCTCAATTTTTTTTGGTACATGTGTTTTTTTTCGAAATTTCCACTAATAGTAAGTCAAACCATTTATTTTTTTAGTCAAACTTACTATAAAAGTATTTTTTCAACAACCTCTTTAAATTACTATAGATATATATGATTAAAAGATAATAAAATAATGATTCATTTTGGATGGATAATATATTTATAAATAAATGTGTAGTTATGATTAACTTTGAAATTTAAAAATTCTATTAATAAAAATAAAATAAAAAATAGAAAAAAATTTATAAATGAATGAAGTATATCTTTTTTTGGTTCGAAGCACACGAACATCTTTTTCTCCATAAGTCCACTTTATCTCCGCCGCGTCCGCCCGGTGTGCTAGTCCGCCGCCCGCCGCCTTGCCGCTGCCGGCCTGTTCTCCGCCATAGACGACATACTCGGCCACCAGAAGCGCTACCCTGACATCAAGAACCAGCTCTATACAGACTATACTGTCTGTCCGCCTCATTTGCCTCTATGTTTTTGCAAAGGTGCTGGAAGATGCCACATGCCGATAAGTTGTTCGATCAAATGCCTGTTTTAAACTATCCACAAACTGTAATTTCCTTTAATGCCCTTCCGGCTTCCTGCTTCTCTTCTTGAAGCTTCCTCAATCCGCTAGCTTTTCTGGGAATTTCAAGGGAAATTGTGCGTAAAGCAGAAAACCTGTGGAAATTAATGGAGCAGAAGAAAATGGTTCCCAATTGGAGTCTTCATAACTGGAGGCAAGTAATCTCCACTTTAATTACTTTCCAACATAATATAAGATTTTGGATATAGTTTATAGTGAACAAGTTCACTCTCAGATTCAATTCCAACTATACAGAGTTGCTCGTGATGCCTATTCTTCACAAATCCTAACAACTTTTTTGCCTATGTTATTCCCTTTGAAAAGGTCAATAAAGGCAGTTGATATGCTCTCCACACCATAGGAGATGTCCTCTATGGCTTTGAGTTGGCCAGTTTGAAGTTGTTGCATTGTGGTCGAAATAAATTATTGGTGTATATCATCAAAATCAGGACACACCAATCCCTCTATCCTGATTCTTTTGAAAATCACTCCTAACATATCCAACTTAGAATTTTTTTTGCTGTTCGTGTACTCGGATATCACCCCACAAATGGCAACTCTACCAAATACATTCATGTTATCAACTGCTGCTTCTAACATTTCACCTCCCACATTGTCAAAGTATATGTCAATGCCATCGGGAAAGTACCTGCGATTAGGCACATACGAATGAGTTTGGCTTCTTTTTTTTTTTTTTTTNTAAATGTGGATCTTTTTTGATAGAATTTCATATAAAATAGTACTTTTATCGTAACCACTAGAAATTTCATTTTTTTGTGTTCCAAAAACGAGTTTTTAGATTGCAACCCATTGATCTTTTGATAATTATTCTGTAAAACGAGTCGAATTAGCATATTTACCTCTGAAGTGTTGGTTTGAGATTACTTTCTTCTTTGTAGTTAAATGCATCGTCAAAGCCAATCTTCTCTTTTAGCAGGTCCACCTATACATCATGTCAAAAAGCAATCTCAGATCATAAGCATCTGTACTTTTACAAGAACTCGCTTATCTTTAAAGATTGCCAATAACCCTTCGAAATTTGTATTTACATTACAAAAGTCTATCCTAAGTACTCAAAACATGGTTCATTTTTTCCTCCCCTTCCTTTGCATTGAGTACAAATTGAGAGAGAGAAGTGAGTAATGGGATCGATCTCCTAATGTGTGTTATAGGCTTGATTTTATTTGTTACTGTATTGTTGCATGATTTGTAAAGTTGTTTGATAATAAAAATGCATAACTCAAGGGGTTATTTGTGATTATAAGCGCTTGTTTTTGGAACTAAATAACCCTTTCTTTCAGAAACTACAATAGAAATGTAAATCACAGTAATTTTACATGTAAACCTTATAAAATCATCCCAAAAAGTTATTTGGAAAATAGTAAAAAGTAGAATGCCAGGCAAGATGAAGATAATTTCATAACATATATGTTAGCTCATTACCTTCAAAAATGCAGTTGGTAGAATTAATCAATAATGTAAAGTAGGCAATTTTAATTTTACATATTGTATTATTGTCCTAAATCTACATGGCTTTTTTTTGTTCTATTTCTGATTTCCTTTAGGGAAATTGAACCTGAAGCTGAATACTTGAAGTTTCTATGTCCAGATAACGGCTTCAATTTTCTCATTTCCTAAT